CCCCAAAACCCCAAAACCCCAAAACCCCAAAACCCCACATCAAATCCTACCGATTGAAAAGAATTTGAAAGACTATAATTCTTGTTGAAATTTTATAAGAATGGAGATTCTCATAATTTGAAATCTGAATATTAGTGAATTATACTGATCCGAATTCTGCCATCCAATCCTTATATTCTTTTAAGAATTGAGTTCCAACTGATGTTTTGACATTCTTCAGTGCGTCAACGAAATCTTCCATACAGAGCGGAACTTCAAATTCTGATTTCATGTCTGCAATCTCTTGCATGTCCATTCTCTTACCCAGAATTTTCCTTCTCATTGGCATAAGAGCTGCTTCTCTGCACAGATTGTTGATATCAGCCCCAGAGTATCCTTTTGTCTTCTCAACAAGAGCATCCCAATCAATATCATTATCAAGCTGTGTATTTTTAAGATTGATTTCAAATAAGACTTTTCTTCCTTCCTCTTCAGGAAGAGGAATATAGATTCTCTTCTCAAGCCTTCTAATCATAGCCTCATCGAGATCCCAAGGTCTATTGGTAGCAGCTAAAACCATTACATTCTTTATAGGATCATCCTTTGTCTCTTCCGTGGGTTCAGAAGCAGCTTCTGAAGAGACTCCATCCATTTGGATGAAGAATTCTGTTTTCATCTTTTTACTAGATTCGTGATCACCACCTCCTCTTTTTGAAGCCACAGAATCGACCTCATCTATGAATACAGTTGAAGGAGCATAGAATCTAGCCATTTCAAAGAGAATTCTGACTAACTTTTCAGTCTCTCCTCTCCACTTTGATGCCAAACTAGAAGCTGATACATTGAAGAAAGTGGTCTTTCCCATTGTTGCAACAGCCTTAGCCAGCATAGTTTTACCGGTACCAGGGGGTCCGAAGAGACAGACACCCTTCCAAGGTCTTCTAATGCCTCTAAAGTAATCTGGCATAAGTAATGGAAGCACAACAGCTTCTTGTAAAACTCTTTTAGCATCATCAAGTTCAGCAATATCATCGAAGTGTACGTTAGGATTCTTAGAAACCACGTCTCTTTCAAGCATTTTGATTAAATCTGCATCTGGACCTTCACCGTCAGGATATACATGCTCCAAGAAAGTATCTGCCTTCTTTTTCTCCTTCTTTGGAGGAGGTAGCCATGGCTTATCATAATCTCTCTTTCCATCAGCCTTGGAAGAGTTACCTTTAGCACTAGATGCTGCAGGCCGACTTCCTGATGTTGCAGGACGGCTTCCCGACCCTGTAGGTCGAGTTGGTCTTACTTTTCTCTTTACAGCAGGTTGTCTAGACTTTGGCTTATTCTGTCTTGCAGGAGGACTAGGAGGATCCCAAACATCAGGATCTTTATAGTATGGCTGTTGGGGCATCTGCTGTTGGTAAGGTTGTCTTCCTCCTCTTCCAGAGTAATCAGGTGCTCCAAATCCAGAATAAGGATCACTCCTATTTTGATAATTACTAGGAGGTTTTTGATAATCTTGATTTACTACGTCCGTTGGATTGATAATATTTCCTCTTTCATCGTATTTAATATATTCCTGAGGAATAGCATGATGCTCAAAAGGTTGAAGTCCTCCAAATCTGCTTAAATCAGCTGGATTATCAATTCTCTCTTTCTTTGAATTTTGTCCAGGAACCCTAACATCAACATCGAAATTCTTTCTCTGACTGCCTCCTTTCTTCAATAGAGGTTGTTGTCTTTTAGAAGAAGATGAATTAATTGGTCTTTCATCTTTCTCACTTCTATGTTTCTTTAAAGAAGGAGCTGAGTTTCCACCCATTTCTTCAACTGAGCTTTGAAGCAACTTAACTTGCTCCATTTCCTCTTTGATAGACTTTTCAGTAGACTTCCATCTATTGATAGTGTACTCGTCTGATAAGGTATTCCAGTGATGTCTAATAGTCTTCAGCGCAATCTCAAACTTTCTGACAGAATCTCTGTACAGGCCAAGGAGTGCCTTCTCTCTTCAAACTTTTATTAGATTCACAATGTCTCCAATATCACTATTTGAATTCATTTTTAAAGTAATAATCAATATTATTAAAGGATAGCGGGGTTTTGGGGTTTTGGGGTTTTGGGGTTTTGGGG